GTTAATTTCGTTTTGGCATTTTGCATCAAAAACTTTAAATGTCTGTTTCACTTTTCAGATTGTTGCCACCAAATATTCTCGCCCTGAGTTATATTTAAAGAAATTAAAAAATGAAAAATCTGCATAAGTGTATGTATATTTCTCACATTGTGATAAAACAATGGTACCTAGAGCCATCCAATTTTTAATACCGTACGTCTCCACCCAAATATGGGCATCTGGAAGGCCTAATTTGGAATTTATTTTATTATTGATTTCATATTTTGTAACATTTTAATGAATTTTTGATGAACAAAATCGACGATTTCGAAGCGAGCAGTGGCAACACCATATAGAAAAAAAATTTTTACCTCCGGTGTGCAAGACTGTGTATCAGAAATTTTAAAGATATGCTCATTTAAAAATTATTTTGCGATGCTGCTGTTGAATTGAATTTTATGGTTTAAGTGCGAAGAGCATGATATTTAATAAATAAAGGTAACACAAAATTTTAAAAAAGGTTTTGTGTGTTACCTTTGTATAATGTAAAATCTGAAAGCTTTCACATTTTTTTTCAGCTTCTGAGTTTTTGTTCAAGCAAAGAAACAGATTTTTTTGTAATTTTCTCTCGAAATAGGAAAACCTTTTAAATTTTTTCAGGACAGTTCTGGCTAAATTGGCTTTTAAATAATTGAATTTGTTAACATTGTCAGGTAATTTTTTATTGTATATCAAAGTTTTAAATGAATTCCAGAGTCCACTTATATAAAACTTTGGAATTGTTATTTTAGGTAACTTCACATTAAGCATTTGCTGAGGATTTGCATCTAAATTAAGTGATGAATCGGAAGAGTCAAAAGGATTATTCTTTTGAATCAGACATTTTAAATATTTGTTTGCCCTGAATCTCCAAGTCACGATTTTTTCTCGGTATTCATCGGCAGATTCAAATTGTTTATCAAGATCTTTGGAATCTACAAACTTTTCTATTTTGATATCTGTCAATTTAAGACTTTTCAAATTTGTTGTTTAATTATTCTAAATAAAACTCAGTTTCACTAACTATGGCAGTTACTTCTGTTTTTGCAATTTCAGCTTCGATCTTTGAACAAGGTTTAAAATTGATGCCTTTAATGTTGACTGTTTTCATATAACAGTATTAATGGTTCAGTGGCCATTTTTCTTATTCTACTTTGCTTTCATCCAAAATAAAACTAAATACATGTCATGTGGTAATAAGAGCAGCCTCTACTTTGAAATTGGGAATTACAAATTTGAAACTGTTAGCAAATTTAAATATTTAGGATCAGAAGTTAATACTCTCAATGATTTAATGCCTTAGATCCATAGTTGAGTCACAGATGCTAACTGATGTTTTTTTGGTTTCAACAAATATTTGAAGTCTAACTTGACTAGTAGAAAAACAAAGATTTTAATTTACAAAAACTTAATCAGACCCATTCGTACATACTGTGCTGAGACCTGGGCAGTGACAGAAAAAGCTAAAAGTATCATTTCTGTCTTTGAAAGAAAAATTTTGAGAAGTATTTTTGGTGGCATACAATGTAATATTATTTGGAGAAGAACAACTAACTCTGAACTCTATAAATCCTATAAAGAAATAGATATAGTAAAATATATAAGGATTCAGAGAATTAAATGGGCAGGACACCTGTGCAGAATGGATGAAAATCGAGTAACTAAAAAGATCTCGGCCAGACGATTCGGCACCCGAAAAAGAGGGAGATCGAAACTTAGGCAGCTCGACTGTTTGGAAAACAGACTTAAGAATTTTAAAAATAACCAATTGGATGTCCATGGCCAGGGATAGAAGAGATTGGAATTCGATTCTGTGGAAGGTAAGAGTCCATCCTGGGCTGTCTGGCCATTGAAGAAGACTTTGCTTTTCTATGCTTAATTCAAAATTCAGTACTTATGTGATATTCAAATATTCAGTAAAAGTCCAGAAATCCACAAATCTTGGGACCAGAGGTTGTGCGGATTTTAGGATTTTGCGGATTTCAGGATAGAAAAGATAAAGCATAATATTCGGACTAAAAGTGCAAAATAAATAAGGCGTATTAGATAATTAAATTATTACATACATTATTGCAGTAATTTATTATATTCATAAAATTGCAATTATTCAATGAATTATATTATAGGTACACAGCATCGAGGTTTGACGATTTCGCCTCGTGCAAAGATTTCCGGTTTCGGATTCCGGTGTTAGAATCACTGTTGCTGTAAAATTTCAACAGCTTTTCTTTATTTTTTTGTATATCATACACAATTTTGTTGCAATTCCATACCATTCTGCTATAAATCAAGGAGTAGCACCTGCCTTCATCTTTTGCAGAATTTTCACTTTTTTGCATTACCATCAATGCAACGTGTTTACGTTTTTTCAATGTTGCAAGCCGTAAAACCATGAGTGCGTTTCTTATCTGTCATTGTATTAAAAAGGGCTGAAATTTAAAATATTCCTAATTTATCCACACGATATCAGGATATAAAAAAAGGCAGCACTAAACAATCTTGTGAAATAACAGAGCTCAGAAAATATAACAACCGGAATCGTGAACTTGAAGAGTTGAGTGAATCATCTGCTTTTTTACCTTGATGCAGAGATTAGAGGGAGAAAACTTTTATCTTATTTTTTAAAACTTTTTTTATGTCAATAATTTGGTATTTTCGTTATGACACATTATTATTCAGTAATTATGACGTCATTATTCGGTAAGTATTTTTTCTTCGATATTTTGTACTCAATGTTGCGGTTTCCGGAACCTACAAACTGAATGTTTATATTTTGAGAGGCAACGTGGATTTCAGGAGTTGGCGGATTTGTGGTATTTGACTGTATTTCAAACAAATTATATCATACGATATAAAATGCAGATCATTATCCCAGCAAGGTATGCCATGTTCCTTTGTTTTTCTTTAAATATTTCAATAGAAATATCAAAATTGAACCTACCTTTTCTTCCCAAGGTGACTGCTCTCGTTATATGTCAAATAAGTAATCCATACGTGAAGAGGCCTTATCTTAGTGAAATGCTAAACATACACTCACTTCCAAAAGTTAAGCATGGAGAGGAAAATGCTAATTTCCTCAATCAGAATTGAAGAGGATGCAATTCGCTGCAGAGGTAGATGGATGTATGCAAATATGTTAGGTAACAGCCAATCGCACTTTCATGTCAAGAAATATGAAAAAAGGCAGTCTTATAAGAAGCCAGCTTTATGAAGGGTTACAGAAGTTGATTGTAAGTGCTGATAGAAGGTATTTAAAACTTTCGTACAATTTGTTTTCAAGACATGCGTGTTTCTATGATCTCCAGAAGATGAATGGAAGATTCTGAGCGCTGACGTGCTGTGGGTGCATTGAAGCAGGACAGTCGATCACAGATGTTGCTGTTTTCTTTGGCATTCATCATTCTGTAATTTCACGTTAATGGAAACAATTCCAAACCACACAGACAGTTGTCCAAAGACCCGTAGTGGTCGCCCAAGGGTTACAACCCCCACGGAAGATTGATCTATTGCTATTGTAGCCGAGCAGAATCGCAGAGTGACCTCCACACCTGTGACATCTATGATTACAGTGTCCATTGGTAAGGCGATATCTGCAGCTACTGTACACCGAAGATTACATATGAGTGGACTGTACGCCCGTATACCTCGAGTTTGTGTTCCTCTATCCGTCCATTTAAGAGGGGCACGGTTACAGTGGTGCTGGGAACATGTCAATTGAAATGTGTCTGACTGGGGCAATGTCATGTTTACTGATAAGTCAAGATTTCCTCTGGAACCAGATGACAAGCGTATAAGGATATGGGGTGAACTACGAACACGCAATCAGTCCCAAAACATCACCGAACGTCACGCATTCCGAGGCGGAAGCATTATGATGTGGGCAGGGGTTTCATTAGGATACCACACTGACCTGCACATCTATAAACGGGTTCTTTGACGGCTCTTCGATATCAAGATGAAGTCCTAGAACCCATTGTGAGATTGTATGCTGCAGCAATTGGCCCTAATTTTGTTTTAATGGACGATAACACATGTCCCCATAGAGCTGACATCGTTGATGACTACTTGGAGAGTGAAGGGATTGTGTATGGTGTGGCCAGCATATTCGCTCGACCTTAATCCCATTGAAAATCTTTGGCATGCTCTCGGCCGTGCTGTATCTTCACATTTCCCACCTCCATCCACTCTTATTGAGCTGGAAACTGCTCTACAAGAAGAGTGGTGATTGCTTAATTCTGTGGTGGTTGACCACCTAATTGAAAGCATGGTCGCAAGGTGTAAACTTTGTATACAGATGAGGGGGGATCACGTACCCTATTAATGTCCTTTTTTTTTCATTTTATGCTGTTTATTTCACTTTATACATAATTCTGTTTAAGTCTCCAGTATGTCTTTATCTGATAACATACAAAAATTTAATATTGTTTTCATTTTTGTATATAATTATTGATTTTGTTTTATTTATAAATATATATGCTACTTTCCTGCCAAATTTTGTGTCAATCAAAGCAGTATTTGTTGATTTTTTTTGCATTTTACATCTTCGTGCGTAACTTTTGGAAGTGAGTGTATTAAACATAACATTAATAACAAGTAATTATATTAATCTTAATTTTGAATACTTATCTGCTCGCCAATTATTCAAAGCAGAGTTTCTTTCCCTCTTCTTGTGTTTTGAAGGTCCTAAACTTGAACCAAAACCACTACCAGAAGAAAGCTGAGGTGTAGCATGCTTCACACACAATAATTCTGTGTTAAATTTTTAACTCTTTTTTTTTTTTTTTTTTTTTTTTTTTTTTTTTTCAGCGCTTGTAGTAGTCATATCGATTAGATTTTCTTTCCAGTGTTTTTAAAGATTTGAGTTGATAATATTTTGCTTTTTCAACAGTGCAATAAAATTAGTGCCTTACATTATTATCATTATCATCATCATTATCAAAGTTTTAAAATTAATTTTTTTTTTTTGGTTTATATTTCGAAAGCCTGAAGTTGGTCTTTGTGCTGTCAATGATGCTATCTTACTTCATTGTGGAGTCTACAAAGTTTTAAGGAAGCATTTCGAAGGTTTAAAATCCTATATGAATATTTTGCATGAATTTATTGAGGTAAGTCCAACTTTCGACTTCCAGAAAAGGTTGCATAATTAATTATTTTCAGTTTTATTTGGTTAAAAGTCTGGCTAGTTTAAGAATAATAGTTAAGAAAAATATATTCTCTGAGGAAGGAATTTGTACGTTTCTGCTTAATTCCTATTAGTAACAAACATAATTAACCAGATATTATATATATATACTATAATTGCAAATAACTAATCCAGTTTGCAGAATTAGTTAATGTAATGTTGATGTAGAATTTGATTGAGGTGCTGTATTTTTCTAAAGCTTTTTCTTGGACAAATATCTCACTTACTATGTAGAATACTCAGAGAGTTAAACTTTAAACTTTTTTGTGGGATGAGATGAAAAAGTAAAAATAAAGTCATTGATTCAATATGAGACATATAAGTAAATGAGTTAAACTTTCGAAAAAATAGGTGAAATATTTTAAATGAATGTCAAAATTAATGAAAAAGGAGTCTATTTTTTTCAGGAGGTATAATTTTTTTGGCTTATGTCAGTTGCTTTACTAACTAGTTCAAGTGACCAGATTTTCTGTATAAAGCATTAAAAACTTTTGATATATCGATAATTTTTGAAATTTTTGTCTTATATCCATGGGGAAGGGAGGAAAAATGCATTTTAATAGGATATTTAAGTAATTGAGATTTTCTTTTGCATACATAAAATAATATATAAGTAAGGCATTTAATAGCATTTGAATTATTTCACCAGTGTTCATTGCATTTTTTCCCCCACTGAAATCATATAATTAAATCTAATGTTCAGTGTCTTCATCTTGTCAAGTTTTAGAGGAACCTGGAAGATTTAAAAGCTTGCTGAAATTTTTTAAATGTTTGAAGAATATTTTAATAAGTATCATAAGTAATGTAAAATTGTAAATGCAGTTATTGGGCCTGTGAGATTCTATATACAAATGTATACTGCAATTGAAAGTTTATCATGTTGTATTATAGTTTATTTTCATTCACCTTTCAAAGCAGTCTTTGCTGACCTATGACATACTTGGCCATTTTTCATAACATTCATCTCTGTTTTCTGAGAGTAAAAATCATAAGTGTAAAATTCATGTTAAAAAATTTATGTTGAAGCTTTTTTCGCCCTACTTAAAATTTACTTTTCTAAAAATATATATATCTTCTATTCAGGTAAAGCATTTTTTAATATGAACACGATGTAAAGTAATTACATTTGAATTTTCTAATGTCTGAATTTTTCAGCATTAGTGCTATCGGATTGAGTAGACTCCTTTGAATAATTGATAGGTCTTAAATGAGCAAAAAAATTTTGTTTTCATTTAAAAATGGCTGTTAAGCTGTGCTAAAATCCTGTTTTTTGATGTAATCTTCTAAAGTCACATGAAAGTTTTCTCAGTTATCATATCATGCTTCGTGTGCAAGAGCATGAAATCTTACGATAGTATAACTAAATATGTTATTACTCACAAAAAGTATAAGTTTAAAGATTTTCATAATAATATTTGCATTCATTGGCATATTAATGTCTTTATATTGCTTTCAGGTTGTCCGTAAAACAGCTTATGGTCAATGTTTAGATATGTTAAACAATCCTCCAAACCAAAGGCCAAAATTTGAGAACTTCTTAATACAAAGGTATAATACCAATGTTGAATATAAGACTTCGTATTATACATACTGCCTGCCTATTCATCTTGCTATGCACCTTGTGAGTTTTGTTTTCATTATTATAAATTTTACTGTTTCAAATATTTAATAATGCACACATATGCACTGGTATGTATTCATATATGTTTTATAATACTAGAATTTAATTATTACCTCCCAGGAACAGTATTACAATATTATTATAATTTAAATAAAGTAATTAATATTCAATTTAACTAGTTTAGAATTATGAAAAATTTCCTCAGCTATTCTTACCTCCTCTAGTTGAAGAGGGCCTACCTTTCTTGATTCACCTTTCCTGCAATTACAAATAAACCTAAAAATATAAGAAAGAACATTAATTATTCTATAATAATTGTTACTAATATTCAAGAGTTCGTCTAAAACGTTAGAGTTCATGTCAATCAACATAGTTCTCTCAGAAATGTCATTAATGTCACTAGAACTTTTGCTTTCTTGCACAAAGGACTCCCTTTCATTTGGTGTTAGGTTCTCAACCTCTGGAACTATTTATTGGTTGTAAGCACTTGTAGGGAAGATGCGGCTCTGTAAAAAATTCTGCACAAGTCCACCACTTTGAATTGTTCACTAGAGAAGAGGCACTAACTCCACGCGTTAGAAGATCGGCTGGATTGTCTTTGGTTGAACAATAAAACCATGAATCTGGATTAGTCAACTTCTGAATCTCGTCGACGCGATTTTGAACGAAAGACTTCCATCTCCTGCTTGATCCTTTGATCCAATACAGTGTAACTTTAGAATCACTCCAAAAAAGATATTAGATGAACCTTTACGATCTAGAACTTTTTTAACTTCCGTTCCCAATCTTGCAGCAATCAGTGCACCCAGCAATTCAAGTCGAGGCAAGGAAACTTTTTTGACAGGTGAAACTCTGCTCTTGGAAGCCAGCAAATTCACAGAAATTTTTTCTTGATTCTGTACCTTTACGTAAACGGCTGCACCATACAACTTTTGACTTGCGTCAGAAAAAACATGGATCTCTATATTTTCATGACATGAATCCAAAGCAAATCTTGGAACACTAATGTTACTAAGTTCTGAAAGCTCGCTACACCACTCAGACCACTCGTCGTTTAAATCAGAAGGAAGCTCTTCATCCCATGGTAATTTACGTAACCATAGCTTTTGTAGTAAAAGTTTTATTCTAACAGTGAATGGTGTGATGTGTCCAAGAGGATCATATATTTTTCCAGCTGTTTGGAGGATGAAGCGTTTGGTACTTTTCTTTCTCCTCGAAATTTTCGTCAAACAAGAAGTCTCTATACTCAAACTATCTTCCTGAATGTTCCATTGAATTCCTAATACCTTCAGTATCCTTTCATTTGAGCTTAGGGGATGAATATCAAAATTTTCTTCTTCCCATTTTTTAGCTAAATGATAATCATTCGTCACCCATTTGCGTAGATTCATCCCAGCTCCACGCATAATTTCCTTTGCTTCCCTTGAAGTTTTTAAGGCTTCTGATACATCATCTGCTCCTGTAACAAGATCATCAACATACATGCATGTATCAAGAATTTGAAAGGTATCGGGATACAAATTTCTGTACTTTTGGATATGCAGCTTTATAGTTGCCGCTAACAAAAAAGGACTGGAATTAACACCAAAGAGCACACGCTTAAATCTATACACTTCTAGCTGATCGTCGGTATTCTGCAAAGGTGTATCAATATTCTTAACAAATAAAAATCTAACTGCATCTCGATCTTTCTCAGCTAACACGATCTGTAAAAATGCCTTTTCGATATCTCCTAAGATTGCAACTCTATTAAGTCTAAAATATATCAGCAAGTGAAATATATTTTGATTCAGATTAATACCTGGCCACAAACAATCATTCAGGGACAGACTACCTATTTCATGTGAGCTCGCATCAAATACAATACGCATTTTTTTGTGTAATGCTTTCTTCTCTATAAACTGCCTGATGCGGCATGCATATAAAAAACTGGCTTGTTTACTGGTTTCGTAGGAATCTAATACTCTTTCTATTATCCCTTGATTTAGGTACTCTTCTAAAGTTTCTCTATATTTCAGGTATAATGTATTATCATGCTGCATTTTTCTCATCAGGATTTTTATTCTTTTTTCTGCGACACCAAAATTGTCGCCTAAATGTTCCCAACGTTTCTTCCAAGGCAAACTAACAATATAACGACCATCTCTGAAACTAACAGTTTTGTTGAATATCTCTAATGCTTTATCTTCATCGTAAGAATTGGGATCATCTCTGATACCAATTTATTCCAAATCAAAAAACTTCTTCAACTGTGCTTCGACATTGTCATAAATTAACCCACAATGCATTAATTGTTTCTCATGTGGTAAATCTTCAATGCTACCGCTTACCAAATACCCAAATGCTGAGTTTTGTAACACTAAATTTGTATTTGGTACATAAATTTGCCCGGATCTTATCAAATCGAAAAATATTTCAGATCCTAAAAGTAACTGAATTTTACCCGGTTTGTGAAAGTCTGGATCAGCTAACGTAACTCCTTGTGGAATCTCAATATTACAGACATCAATTTGTCTAGAAGGCATCAAATGAGTAATTTTCGGAATTACGAAAAAATCTAGTTTACGACTGTATGTGTTTCCTCTATTTAAAATAACCGCACTTATTTTTGATTTCACCGTTGTTGAAATCCCAGATAGATAAACATCCTACTGATAGTGTTTACATTTTCTCTTTGCAAATGAAGCTTCTCAGCTAATTCCGATGAACAAAGATGAATCATACTTCCACTGTCAAGCAAAGTTCTGGCTGGAAATATTTCTCCTTCCATTTCCCTTAATATAAACAATCGCTGTCGATTCGATAGTAGGACTCTATTAACTGCATTACAATTTTTATTTACATTAGCTGTCATAAAACACTCGCTATCCTTTATTTATAAATGGCTTTGCGTGAGCGTTCAGTTTCGCTACTTCCGTAGACGAACTGGCGTCTGACTTTTGATCCGACAGAGAGGCGATTTCGCAACTCTCTCTATTTTGGGAAATCGAAACTTTTTCTCGCTCATAACACAGTAACGAATTGTGCTTTTTTCTGCATAGCCTACAAGAGTAATTTGAAGGGCAATTTCTCACTCCATGATTTCCAAAACAGCAGAAACATAAGTTGTGCTTTTTAACATACTCGACTCTATCCTTTAAGCTGAATTTTTGAAATTTAGGGCATTTAAATAATTTATGTTCCACATTACACAGTTTACAAATTAAAGCACGTTTTTCAGTCACACATGAAACCATTGAAGAAACCTTTGATTGACTTACTGAAGCTTTTGATTTAGACATTACTGGAATTCTAGAAGCGTTTAATGTCCTCGCGTGATCCTTTAGAAATTCTAATAACTCTGTAATGTTCGGTATTTTTTCTTTCTTTAAATTCCTTTCCCACCATAACTTAGTATTCTGATCAAGTTTCTGGCTAAGAATAAAGGCAAATATAGCGGATGAAACCCCATCTAACTTTTGTTCTAAACATTCTAACGATCTTACAACTTCACTTGTAACATCAATTAAATTTAGAATCGCAGAAGCTGACTCGTTTTGAATAACGGGAATACTCATAAATCTTTTAAGATGAGCATACACTTGTTCTCTAGGATTCGAGTATCTTTCTTCAAGAAGAGACCACGCTAACTTATAATTATTATCCGTTATAGCTATCGTTTGGATAATTCTAAAAGCATCTCCTTTCAGTGCTGATTTCAAATATTGCAATTTTACAGCATCTGATAAATTTGGGTTTTGATCAATACTCGCTTTAAAAATGTCCTTAAAGGAAAGCCAAGAATGCATTTCTCCTGAAAATGTCGGTAACTAAATCTTAGGTAAACGCACAACAGTATTTTCAGAAATTACTGCATTTTCTACTTTATTTTCTTTAACAACGTTCGACAATCTATTATTTATTTCAAATTCTATATCAATAATACTACTATTGATTTCATCTTGATCACTGAAGATTTTTTTGATATTTTCTTCACTAGTTAAATTGATAATAGAATCAAAAATATTATCGAATTCATTTTGCAGATTGTTAAATTTAGTTTTTAACAATTCTAAATCACTAACACTTAAATCTGGCTCACAAAGTTTCTTTTGCAACTTCGATAGGATAGTTTTTTGAGTTCTCTTTTTAGTGAGAACATCTTTCAGTTTCGTAGCCATTTTCGCTTCACTTATCAATAACAAATTATCACACAAACTTAATTCAGAATTTACTAAATGCAACAGTTAATAATGAATAGAGTGTCAAGGGTTTTTTACTTACCCCTTTCTTTCAGCAACTGGCTATAATCCACAAACACGAATTCCATTGAAACAAAATGGCAAACTCACTGTTTTACACTAGATTATTTATTTAGCTGATATCTCTGCGGCTCTACTGGACCACTCAAATGATCCGGCGATTTTTAAATGGACTGTAACTCTCAATTAAACTAATTTACAAACTACTTTGTAACATATCTTTATCTTTATTATACTAATTTTTGAGAGACGCTCAGGCTCCCACAATCACTTTCTGCTTCGCCATTGAAGCCAACTCTCAAAAGTAATTCACATTCTTTTTGTAAACAGTAACGATGGCAGCGCCATCTGGCTTCAGAGGGACTTAACATACGGAGTCATGAGAAGCTTAGTGGGTGCTCATTTCTCCTAGAGTAGAAAAACGAATGGTAGCAAAGACTGAAGGATTATAGGCACTCCTGAATCACAAAGTAAGCTCACTGGAAAGACCATATCCCTAGGAGGGGGTGTGTGGGTTTTCAATTATATAACTTTTGGTATATATTTTTCCTTTATAATGAAAAATGACACATAAAGAATTTTATACTATAAAAAGGATTTTATGTTTTATCTCAAATCCTACCCTACTTTTGTGTTCATTTAACAAAATAAAATTCATTAATGAAACTTAAAGGAGGATGGGTGAGGGCAACAGTCTTAATTTTTTGTCCCACCTTGGAAAAATCCAAGATCTGGCTTTGCCTTTAGCAGATGCTGAGT